AAATCTACAAATACACAATGTAGCTCCTTCTGACCTTCTCTGTACTTCTCCATCAGCATCCTCAAGGCAAATATTGCATCTGTGGTACTCTTCCTAGGCATGAAACCATACTGTTGTTCACAAATCTCCACTTCCTGCCTCAACCTAGCTTCAACTACTTTTTCCCAAATCTTCATTGTATGGCTCATCAACTTTATCCCTCTGTAGTTGTTACAACTCTGTGCATCGCCCTTCTTATAAATTATTATATTAAAAAGGAGGATCCTTTTAAAATTACTTATGCCTGTTTTGACTGGATTGATTTTGCTTTGTTTGATTTCAACTTGTGTAATATCATGCATTAAGTCAACGATTGCTAAAATGGTATCTACAAGACTACTGTATGTGCATGCCTTGTACCAACAACCTTATTCTCTCATTCGCACTGCCCCACTTATTGACGAGAACACCTCAGCTGTTTGAAGTGTTCAACTGTGCTATAGTTCCGAATTGATGTCTGTGCAGAAAATCTAATTGAAGTTGTACATGACTGATGATGAGAAGCTGTTCTATTTCACAGTTTAAATTGATATGTAAAACAGCAGGGGATGTTAAGATGTTGTAAATACATTTATTCACTCTTTACAATATATTCATTGTATTAAGTTTCCATTTTAATTTATACTGTTATTGAATGCTGTTATTGTGCTGTACTAAAAGGAAAAGTGCTGAAGACAGGTTTGCATGCTGGTTTCTTCTCATTTCCATCTCTCCACCACATCTCCACTTTCTTTTTCTTCTCCTCCTCTCCGAGCTCCATCGGTGCCTCCCTGATTCTTTGATTCTGATTCTTGTTCTGTGGTTTGGTGGTAAGGATAGGACTTGCTGGCTGAGGATTTTGGTCTTCTCTTCAATATATTTGTTTTGGAGCTTCCACTGCTCCTCCTTTTTCAGCCAGCTCTCCAGACTTAGCTTGTTCTCCCTGTGCAGCTCCTGCACCTCTGTCTGCCACATGTTGTCCTTCTCCTCTAACATCATCTTCATGGTCTCCTCAGCACCTTCCAGCCGCTGCTTCCACTCTATCTCCTTGGCCTTCAGCTCATTTACCAGTTTGGCGTTCTCAGACAGTGAGTCGATGTAGGCGTCGGTCCTCCTTACCCATTTCTTAGTTTCGTTCTTGAGGAGGTCCTTGGTTCTCTTCAGCTATTCCTTCCCCTGCCCCTGCCTCAGCTCATCCACTTCCTGTCGCAGACAGCCATTTTCAGCGTTCAGGGTCTTGATTTCAGCAATGACCTTACACAGCACGTCCCGCAGGGTGTTTATGGTTTCCTTCAGAGGTGCTTCATCCAGCCTCATTGGCTGGGGCGT